GGTCTGCCTGTCCGTGACCCAGGGTGATCGTGAGTGGGCAGTGGGCAGGGCCGCTGGGAGCAGCCCAGATTCCAGGCCCAGGGAGGAGCTTGCCCTCATCTAAGCTCTCCTGGCCCCTGTGCTCTCAGGTGGACAGAGCCAGACCCATCCTCACACACACAGGCCGCCCTCCACGGCGCCCAGCAGAAACTGCCCAGGCTGGGAGCAGGGACCACAGGGTGATGGGGGGCCTTGGAGGCCTGTGACCGAGGGGCTTGCCCAGCTCCACAGCGCCTGGCACCCCCCGCCCCTGCTAGGAGCTTCCTTCCCTCACCACTGGCTCTTCTCAGAGCCGTGGCCCTGCCTCCCTGGTTCGCCTTGAGCCCCCGGGAAGGCCCATCTCAGGGGCGTGGGCCCAGGCCCACGTCCCACAGTCGGGAACCTGACCGGGGGTGGGCACAGGCTGCGGAGTGGCCTCTGGAATCAGGTCTCCCCTGGTGCCCTGCAGGGGCCAGCCCCTCGTGCTGAAGGGGAGTGTGGGGCTTCCAGTCTCTGCGGGGAGTGGTGCTCAGCCTGGTGCTGCTGTGACCCGGGGTCCTCCCAGGCTCGGCCCCTGCCCAGACCTCACCGGCCTGGGGAGCTTCCGCCCAGCCCCTAAATGGGCAGGTGGGGACACTAGCCTTGACCTTCCATGGCCGAGCTGGGCGCTTCCTGAAGCCAGGCTGAGCCTCAGAGGTGGTCCACAGTGCTGGCATCCTGGAGCTGAGCATACCAAGGCTGTGGGGGTGGGGTGGGGGTGAGGGTGGGAGTAGAGGTGGGGGTAGGGGTGTGTCGGGGGGAACCCCACAAGAGCCAAGGCAATGGTCTGAGGCCTCTGTCCTCGCATAAATATAGAATTAGAAAAGATTGGAGATCCAGTTAGATTATGATTATAATCACACAGCTATTCACATGCAATCAATCATATGACCTTTAATTTTACCAATAAGTCTCAGGTCAAGAAGTACGGGACTGGCCGAGCGCGGTGGCTCACGCCTGTAATCCCAGCACTTTGGGAGGCCGAGGCGGGTGGATCACAAGGTCAAGAGATCGAGACCATCCTGGTCAACATGGTGAAACCCCGTCTCTACTAAAAATACAAAACATTAGCTGGGCATGGTGGCGCGTGCCTGTAATCCCAGCTACTCAGGAGGCTGAGGCAGGAGAATTGCCTGAACCCAGGAGGCGGAGGCTGCGGTGAGCCGAGATCACGCCATTGCACTCCAGCCTGGGTAACGAGAGCAAAACTCCGTCTCAAAAAAAAAAAAAAAAAAAAAAAGAAGTACGGGACTGAGGTGGCATCAGGAAAGAGGTGATCCTAAGGCAAAATGCTCTAAGTCCTCTGTCCCACCCGCCTAAGGGCTGCTGGAGGGCGCCTCGGCTGTGCCAGTGTCAGCGCCGGGAAAGCGCCCGCTGTTTAGCCAGCTAGGGAAGGAGACGTCCAAGGTGGCCGAGACGTCTCTGTCCTCGGGGGCTGAGGAGAAACGCGGCTCCTCCAGGCCCTGGCAGCTGTTGGGGGCCCCCGCAGGCATCGGGGCTGGTCTCCGCGCTGCGCCTAAGCGTCACGTTCCTTGTCTACTTTCAAGTTCCGCTTCTGCACCTGCTTCCTCTCTTCCTTCTAAGATAAGAATTAGTGATGGTAACACAAATTTTAACGTCCTTTATATCCTTGACAGAGATGAAAAAAGTGCTGACGCACGAGCTTTCCTCCTCGCCTCGGCTGCTTGGAAGACCTGGGCCCTGTCGCCGCCCCGTTACCTCGCCTACCCACCCTGCCCCCTGCTTGGGACTCAGTAAAAGTCAGGGCGTCCAGGCCCTCGGGGCACTGCTGGACTCTGGGCCTCGGCAGCAGTGGACCCCGGGCCCAGGCTCTCTTTTCTCTAAATCTGTGTCTTGTGTCTTTATTGTCACTGTTTCTCGTCTCCACACCTGCAGAGAGGGGCTCACGGGACCCCGTAGGGCTGGACCCGATGGGGGTGGGTATGGCTGTGGGGGGAGAATTTCTGGCCCCTAGGGGAGCACTGTGCTGGGCTGCCCCCACCGCACCCGGCCCTGGATCTCCTGCGGCAGTCTCGGGGTGCTCCCGCTCTGACCCTGACTTGTCCAGAACACCCCACGCAGGGTCTCACCCGGGTACTGCCCTCACCTACTGAAGATCCCTAGCAGGGCAGCTCTGACAGTAGTGAGCCTCTGGAGCCACGAGACCTGGGCACCTCTGGAGGGCAGGCAAAGCAGGGCCTGAGAGGGTGGGGCATAGGGGCTGTCCCTCCCCAATCCCAGGCTGGGGGAGCTGATCCCAGGTCGCAGGTGGGTGGGGCCGACGAGGTCCCCTTGAGTTTATTCAAGGCTGGTGGACATTCAGTCAAGTTCAGGTCCCACCAGTCACTGGGACAGCCTCGGTCCTTGAGGGCAAACCATCGGTGGGGACACTGGACAGGGGCACCAGCGCCCCCAGAGGACGCTGGCCAGGGCCCCAGGGCGGAGACTGCTTCCCTCCAGGAAAAGGTTGGGGTCAGTTCTGGGAGCCCAGGCCCAGGCCACCAGGCTTGTCTCTGACCTGCCTGTACCGCAGGCCGGGGGATGGCCTTGATGACTTCTTAAGGTAGAGGCCAAGTTCTTGCATTCTGTGACTCAAAGCAACTTGTTCCCAGAGCGGCGGGGTGGGGTGGCCAGCTTCTTCCTGCCCAGCCCTCCCCCAGGCTCCACCGAGGTCCTGCATGGCAGCAGAGCTCAGAGCAAAGGGAAGGACAAGGAGAGTTCGCAGGGGGGTCCTTGTCCCTGCTTGAGCTGCAAGAGGCTCCTTGAAGGCCCGCCCGCCGCTGTCCACCTCGTGCAAGCACAATCCCGGCTGGAGAGGAGGGGAGAAATCTGGCATGAGTTCACCAGGAGCTGGCAACTGCCCGGCCCTTCCTGGATTTGGTGGGAGATGAATCTCCAGCCCTCGTTGGGCCCAGGTGCCCCCAGGAATCAGGGCTTGTGGGCGGCTCCGCACTCATGCAGCCATGCCTGGGGAGTGTCCCTGGCAGCCCGCTGGCCATCTTGACCACGGAGACTAAGGAGTCGGTTCCCGAACTGAGCATGAGTTCACCGTTTCTCCCAGCTCTCCAGGCGCCACCGGTGACCACCTGGTCTCGGTAACGACTGGTCATGGAGGAGAAGGGGACATGGGGCCTGTTGGGCCTTCTGCTGCCCACCAGAAAGTGGGGAAGGGGAGGGGCTTGGTCCTTTCTCCAGGCACTGGGTTTGAGGGCTGGGCACCCGAGATCCCCTGGGAACCCCTGGGGCTATGGGAGGACCTTGCCCCACCAGGCTCCCCAGTCCCTCCCAGGCCTGCCCAGACTGGAGCCATTCGGACCCAGAGCCACATCTCCCGGGTCTCCCTGCCCTGTGCCACCTGCCACCACACCCTGGGGCTTGCTCACCACCGGGAGGCCCCTTGTCCTGGACCTACCTGGCCTTGGTAGGGACCTCCAGCCAGGCCACTCAGTGAGCTGCCAGCCCCACCAGGGCCGAATGGCAGCCGGGACTCAGTCGGCAGAGGGCAGGAGGCCAGGCCTGCAGTGGTGCCCCAGCCACAACTGTCTTCCTGCCCCTCCCTGTCCTGATGGGAGCCCCCAGCTTTGTAGCTGAGCGAGGCCTGGGGGCCATGTGGGGTCCTGGAGTTAGACACCCCCCCAAATGTTCCAACAGACCTCCCTCTCAGCCTAGGGCACAGATGGCATCTGAGCTAGCAGGGCACTGCTGCTCCGGGTAGGGACCGATGGGAGGCCCGGGGAGGGGGGATTCTGAGGCCTGCCCCAGCCCCTTCCCCTGCTTACCCTCCTTCTCCATGACTCTCAGGGGCCTCCGTGCTCCCTGGGACTCACTCCCTCACCTTGGCCTCTGCCTACGCTACCCAGCCACCCCCAGCAACCCCAACACCAATACTGCCCACCAGCTGCTGCTGCATATGCCTCCGCCCCAGGCCCCCAGACCCCCAAGCCTGGGTTCCTTGACCCCCGGGCCACTGGGGAGGAGAAGCAGTGCAAGCTCAGTTCCAGGGCCCATGCGCCCCGGGAAGGGGTGGGCCACAGAACCCAGGAAGGGGACGGGCTCCAGCCCCCAGTGGTTGCCAGTGGCCCCCTAGAAGCCAGCCCACCCCGTCCTGGTCAGTCCTGCTCTCGTGTACATTTCCCAGCTCCCCACCTGGGCCCACCTGCCAGCCAGGGGCAGCGCTCACCCACCACACCTGCCGGGACAGCTCAGTCCACCAGGAGCCTGCCTGTGACAGCCCACGGCAGGGCCCAGCCAGGGCCGACAAGCTGGAGGGGCCCAAGGGGCTGGGTGCAGCGCTGGGGTAACGGGACAGGCCCAGACTTGGGGGAGGGCAGACTCAGGGTCGGGTGGTTGCTGGGAGGAGGCAGGGCCTCTGGCAAGGGATAGGCCTGTGCCCAAGCCCAGAGGTACCCAAGCTGCAATGGGTGCCCAGGGGCCACTCTCAGAGCCCCAACAACTGGCCATGGGGAAGCCGTGCCCAGCACACCTGGCCTTCAGGCCCCTGCGGGGCAGACCCAGTTTCTCTACCTCGGCCGCAGCTTCCCATCACCAGTTCACTTGCTGGGTGTTTCAGGATCAAACTCTCAGGTGGAAGTGAGGCTTTGTGTCCCCCTCTGGGGTCTTAGGGCTCGAAAGGGATTGATGGTAGGGCCTGCAGGATGTGGGTCTTGCCCCCTCCATGGGAAGTGGCCAGAGGCCTTGGAGGCAGGCACAGCTGAGGCACACAGCCCCGTCCCTATCAGGGCTTCGGGCCGGTGGGTCCTGCCGGCAGGAGGAGGGTGGCAAGGCCGCTGCCAGCTCTGTCTCTGGGACAAGTGGGCAGGGGCCTCAGCCTCAGCCAGGGCAGCAGGCCCAGCCTCTTGCATAAGCGCCCTGTGGGGGACGAGGCTGCAGCAGCGCCCGGCCACCCCACCCCCCAGCATCACGAGTCTTCAGTGGGCTGTCCTGGGGCCCTGGGTGAGGCCAAGCCTGGCCCATAAATAGGGGTCTCCTCCGTGCTCTCCACTCCTGCCGCACACCTCCCTCCCTCGCCCACACTGCTGGCACCGGGCCCCAGACACCTGCTCTGCTTCGAGAGAATGGCTGCTCAGCACACTCTGTGGATGGGGCTGGTCCTGCTGGGGCTGCTGGGCGGCCTGCAGGCAGCAGCCGAGGCCCAGGTCTCCGTGCAGCCCGACTTCCAGCAGGAAAAGGTGAGGGGCTTCCCTGCGCCATCCCCGAGAGCTACAGGGCCCGGTCGAGGAAGGTCACTTTCCAGCTGGGTCTTCTCCCCGGCGGAGGGAGCGAAGTTCCGCAGTGCCCGGCAGTGCCGGCCAGGGACAGAGCCGGGCGCGCAGGAAGGAGGCTGGGCGGCGGCCCGAGGAGCTGACCACGAGGGGCCCTCCCTGGGCACCACGTCCAGTCTCCCCGATGGGCCACACAGACACCGGTCCACACGCGCCCACGCCATCCAAACACGGTCATCGCTACAGGCACGCGACCCGCAGAGGACACACGAGCGCACGTTCCACACCTGGGTGCCAGGACACGGGCGGGGGGCGGTGGCGCACGGGGATGGCGCGCGCGGGGGACCCGCCCCGCACAGAAAGCCGGCGACGCGCGCTCTCGCCCGGGAGCTGCTCGGGGACGCGCCGGAGCGCGGGTTCTCCGGCCGCGCGCCCCTCCCCAGGGCCGAGGAGACCCCCCAGCGGTCCGCGAAGCGGAGCCGAGGACCCGCCCACCCCCTGCGGGAACGCCGCGTCCTCTGCCGCCCGCTGAAAGGGCCGGGCGCCCCGCCAGGGCACAGAATCGGGACCGGGGGCGGAGGGGCCGGAGGTGGCTGGTGCGGGGGTCCACGGGGGGGCACTGTCCTCGGAGGGGGCGTGGCCAGACGGGGAGCCGGGGCCCGGGGCGTGGCCAGCTCCCGGGGCGGGGCCGTTTGTGGGCGTGGCGAGGGCGTGGCTTCTTGGGGATTGAACGTGGGGACCCGGCCGGGTTGGAGCCGGGACGGGAGGGGCGGAGGCGCCCCGCGGGTCGGCACCAGTGGTCCGGAGGGTCCTGGCCGACGCGGTGGGGCCGCTCGCCGCAGTTCCTGGGGCTCTGGTTCAGCGCGGGCCTCGCCTCCAACTCGAGCTGGCTCCGAGAGAAGAAGGCGGCGCTGTCCATGTGCAAGTCGGTGGTGGCCCCGGCCTCGGATGGCGGCCTCAACCTGACCTCCACCTTCCTCAGGTGTGACAGCGGGCAGGTGGGCTTCTGGGACGCAGAGGTCTGGGAACACCCTCGGGCCTAGCCCCTGACCCTGAGGTCACCCACCTGCAGGAAAAACCAGTGCGAGACCCGAACCATGCTGCTGCAGCCCGCGGAGTCCCTCGGCTCCTACAGCTACCGGAGTCCCCGTGAGTGGGGCCTCCACCGCCCCCTGGGCCCGGCCTGGGGGTGACACTTGCCGGGCTGACTCTCGGCCAGCCCCCTGCCTCGGAGATCCATGGGTTGGGGGGTGATGGCCGCCCCACCAGGGCAGAGAGGCCAAGGCCAGGTCTCGGCGTGACTGCCCATGCACCAGCGTGGGGGACAGAGGGACCCTTCCTCCAGGGGGTGGGACCCTCTCTGGAGCCCACTAGTGTCGTGCCAGGCCCTTCTCCTGTTCCCTGGAGTTTTCCCCACATACGCAGCCCCCAAAGGCCCTCCACACACCTCCTCCCAGTTCTCCTCCCCAGGACGAAGGGGCTTCCTCACCCCTCCTGGGGAATGGCTCCTGCCGGGAGACCTCTTCACTTCCCGGTTCTGGCAGCGAGTTCTGGGGCTGCACCAGGAATCCGGTTTTCTGAACCTGGCTCCCCCAGACGTCTGGTTTGGGAGAGTTCACAGGCTGTGTAGGCAGGAGCGGGGTGTGGGCTGGAGAGCAGCGGGCTTGGGGAGAATCCCAGGCCGGCGGAGGCCTGAGTGCCCACAGCCCACCGGCACACCCCCTCCCTGAAGCAGAGCTGAGTCCCCAACAGGGCCATCTCTTGGGTTCCCAGACTGGGGCAGCACCTACTCGGTGTCAGTGGTGGAGACGGACTACGACCAGTACGCCCTGCTCTACAGCCAGGGCAGCAAGGGCCCCGGCGAGGACTTCCGAATGGCCACGCTCTACAGTACGTGCCCAGGGGGCTGCCCCGAGGGTGGGGCCGGATGCAGCCTGACCACAGGGGCGCCCCCAGACTCAGGGAGAGCGCACACTGTCCCCCTCGCTGACGCCAGCTGTCTCTTCCCTGTCCCAGGCCGAACCCAGACCCCCAGGGCTGAGTTCAAGGAGAAATTCACTGCCTTCTGCAAGGCCCAGGACTTCACAGAGGATACCATTGTCTTCCTGCCCAAGACCGGTGAGGCCCTAATCTGATGGGGAGAGGATTAAGGTCAGATTAGAGGCAGGCAGGCAGCCGGTCTCTGACTGCAGGAGGCAGAGGGGAGGAGGTGGCCCCACCCTGCGCCTGCTGACTTGCTGGAGGCCTGGGCCTGCAGCCCTTCATGAGGAGCCGCCTCCGTGGGGGATGTGGAGGCCAGGCACCCACTCCATACCAGGCCCCAGCAACTCCCAGGATATGGGGCTCCAGCCTGGTGGAGGGTGTAGGATGGGGTGCCCATGGGGGACACAGGTGGACAGCCTGCTCTCAGCAGAGGTGGAGAAAGGCCCTCTCTGTTTCAGGGGGCCATGGGAGAGGTGGGAGGTGATGGGGGTCTGTGCGGTTTGGGGGTTTATTCAAGACCAGCTCTGCATTCAGGGAGGGACAGGAAGTCCCATGGGAAAATTGGCCTAAGCCTGGGGTTCTGACGACAGCCCCCGGCTTCTTTCTTGGCAGATAAGTGCATGACGGAACAAGAATAGGTGAGCCACTTCATTCATTCATTCATTCATTCAGCATACATCCAGCCCACCCCCTCTGCAACGGATCAGGGTCCCAGGACAGCCTGGTGCTACAGACCCATCCTTCCTGGTGGCTGCAGTCCAGGACCAGGCAGGAGACACAGGGGCTGCCCACATTGATGGGTGCCCAGGTCTGAGGCTCGGAAGGAAAACTTGTCCCAGCCACTGGAATAGGGCTGGTCCCTGAGGGCTCCCATGGCAGGCTGCAGGTGCGAGACCCCAGGCAGACAAGGCTGAGGGGCTGAACCACAGGGGCCATCTGGCAGCGAGGGGCACCTGGCTCCTGGGGTGGGAGGGAACCAGGGTGGGTGAGATGGGATGGGAGGAGACGGGACGGAAGGGAGGGCTAAGGATGCTTCGTGGAGGCCGTGGGAGACCTCAAGGAAGCAGGCTCCAGGCGGATTGACCCCACCCCCAGGAGGGAGGCCTAGGCTGGAGCTGGAATCTGGACCCTGGGGTGGGGAGGGGTGGAGTCTGGACCCTGGGGCAGTGGGGATCTGAGCCCCAGCGATGGATCTTGCTGTCTCATCGGGGCTCATGGGAGCCAGGGGCAGAGGAAAGCCCCCCTACCCGCACCTGCTCCATCCAGCCGGAGTAGGGGTGGGCTGGGAAGACCGCAGCCTCCATCATGGCCTTCCTCTTGCACCCCCAGGCCTGAAGCTGGGACCCCCGCCAGCCAGGTGACCCCCAAGTTCTGGATGTCTCTGCTCTGTTCCTTCCCTGAGACCTGCCCCGGCTCCCCACTCAAGTGCCCCCGCTCCCTTGGGCTTCATTCTGGCTCTATGCAATAAACTCTGGAAGCAAGTCAGCAGGCTCCTGGCTGTCTGTGCTGGCGTCACCCGTCCTGGGCCTGGCCCCGGCCACCTCGACCTCCCACTCTGTCAAATCCCAGCCTGATGTCAGCAAAGGAGCAGGCCCTCCAGTGTTTGCTCCCAGTGGGGTCCTGAGTCAGGAGAGCCAGGAGGCGTGTCCCCCACCCACTCCACACGATCGTGTGACCCTGCCACGGCCCCACGTGTCCTGCCACACCCCCTGAGCTGCCACTGCCGCCAGGCCGGTGCTGAGCTGGGGGGTCAGTGACTCATCTCATCCCCTAGGCAGGTGTCCTGCACCCCCAACCCCACCCTGTCACCCCCTCAGCAGGAAGGGCCTGAGTCTGGAGGCCCCAGAGGAGCTTTGGACCTGTTGGGTGTCTCAAGGTGTGGGACTGGGCAGAGATAAGGGTTTCAGGGGACAAAAAGGAACATTTGTTTGAAAGATGCTAGAGTGTCTCCACCCCCCACTAGGACAGACTGACGGAGGAGACAGGCCACCCCACATCCCTCTGGCTCTCTGAGCACCCCCTGCCCTCTGACCTGGGCCTCCAGACCATAGCCCTGTCCACAAGCCAGAGCCCTGGCACCACTGCCACACCACGCCCGGCCAGTGTCCTGCCCAACCCTGCTCCCTCCCACCCTCACTGTGACCTGCCCACCAGGCCCCCAACCAAGGCAGGCCCTGCAGAGGCACCAAGCATTTGAGGCTCAGAGGTGAGGGTGAGGTTCTGGGTGGCCTTCCAGGAGAAGGGAGTTTGAGGCTGTGCCTGAGCTCAAGGGGGGATCCCACATCCTAGGGAGTCTGCAGACGGCCAAAGAAGCAGGGTGGGTGAGCTGCAGGCCCCCACCCTGGAGGCCTGTCAGAACTACCCCCAGCTGCCAGGCATCTGGCCCCACCCCGGAGGAAAGGCAGGGTTTGGTAGGGGATGGCGGGGCTTGGGTGGAAGAAGCTGGGCCAGAGTGCTGCAGGGTGCAACGTGATCAGAAGCCTATCAGGGTGGGTGCAGTCCCAGTCCAGCCGCCCCAGGGCATCTCAGGGGCATAAAGCCTACAGAGGAGACACCCCAGCTCTGCCCTGCTCCCGAGTCCCAAGGAGACACTGAGCCACCTTGCTGCACAATGCTTCGAGCTCTGCTGATCAGCTCCCTCCCTGCCCTGCTCTGGGGGTCCCCAGGCCAGGCCCAGGTCCCCATCCAGGCCAACTTTCATGCCGGCCAGGTGCGCCCAGACCTGGGGACACGTTCTCTAAGTGCAGCACTTTGGTGCTGAACCCCGGGTCCCTGTCCACACCCTCTTTGATCCAGGCTCAGCAGGGCTGAAGCAGGGGATCCCCCGCACACCTGCTCTTTTTGTCTGGATGGGGCGTGGCTGGGGAAGACTGCAGTCCGCCACCCCAGCTTTTCCGTTGCATCCCCCCCGTCACTCCCCAGGGCCAAAAGCTGGGACAAGTCGCAGCTGCCTGCACCTCACGTCCCCCCCTGGCCGACCCCACACAAGCTTGTGACCTCGCCACAGCCCCACCCATCCAGCTGTCCCCCGCACTGCCCGCTGCAGACAGCTGATGCTGGGCTGGTGGGGGCCATTGCTCCTCTACTGAGGCCCCCCTCCTCCGTTCTGCATCAGAGTGGACATGTGCGCAGCAGCCCCCGTCCTGGCCAGGAAGCAGCTGTGTCAGGATGGAACGCGGTGGGTAGAACATGGTGGGCTCAGGCCCAGGGCACGGGGCCACCTCCCAGCCTTCCATGCACTCACCCTGCGGTTCCAGGGCACCTGGTACATGGTCGGGGTGGTGTCAGATGACCCAGACTTCCTGGACTCCAAGGACACTGTGAAGATGCCCGTGGTCTTAGTGACCCCCTTGGTGAATGGTGACCTGGCCCTCATGTTTGGATACCCCATGTAAGTGATCCCACAAGCCCCACATCACACTCAGCCTCAGACAAGGGCCAGCATGAGGCAGATGAAGGTCCAGAGGGACCATGGTGTCTTCAGCACGTCGGGCTCAGACCACGGGCCCTCGAGGGCTCCTTGTGGCCAGTCCCAGACAGCAGCCACAGGACTCCAGAGGGATCCAGGCCCTGGAGGAAGCCCTGCCTGAGGCCTGGTGCTGAGAAAAGTGTCCGCATGTCTGTGTCTGTGTGTGTATCACTATATGTGACTGTCTCTGTGTGTGTCCGTTTCTGCATGTGTGTGTGTATATGCGTGTGTGTCTTCTGTGTAGCTGTGTACCTCACTGTGTGTGTATCACTATATGCATCTGAGTGTCTGTGTATCTGCGTCTGAATGTCTGTGTGTGTCCATCTCTGTGTGTGTGCCTTCTGTGTATATCTGTGTCTGTGTGTCAGTGTATCTATGTGTGTATGTGCATGTGTGTATGTGTGTCTTCTGTGTATATCTGTGTCTGTGTGTCAGTGTATCTATGTGTGTATGTGCATGTGTGTATGTGTGTCTTCTGTGTATGTGTCTTTGTGTGTGTGTCAGAGTGTCCGTGTATCTGTGTGTGTGTGCATGTGTGTATGTGTGTCTTCTGTGTATGTGAGTGTGTCTTCTGTGTGTGTGTCAGTGTGCCCGTGTATCTGTGTGTGTGTGTGCATGTGTATATGTGTCTTCTGTGTGTGTGTGTCAGTGTGTCTGTGTATCTGTATGTGTCATGTGTGTGTGTCAGTGTATCTATGTGTGTATGTGCATGTGTGTATGTGGCGAGGCCAGCGCTAGGGGCAGGGCCTCTGGAGCCCTGACTCGGGGCGCCCCGCTCCGGCCCGCCCGGGGCACTAAACCCGCCTCGAGTCGCCAGAAGCCGGCGGGGGTACAGGCAGGGTCCCAGCCGGGGACCTTTAATTCCGCCCCGCCCCCAGCCCCGCCCCCGCCCGCAGAAGCCCCGCCTCCGTCAGCAGTAGCCCCGCCCCAGCAGACTCCGCCCCGCGCTAGCTCCCTAAGTCCCGCCACGGGCCCACGCCGGGCTCCGGAAGCCGTTCTTCCGCGCAGGCGCCCTGAGCCCGCAGCCCCGCCCCCTCGGCGCCAAGCCCCGCCCCGCCGGGTTCGCGCTCGCCGGCCGCCATGGAGGCGCTGTCACCGCCGCTCTGCACGCTGCCGCCGGGCCCCGAGCCGCCCCGCTTCGTGTGCTACTGCGAAGGGGAGGGAAGCGGAGAGGGAGACCGCGGCGGCTTCAACCTGTAGTGAGTGGGGGTCCGCGGGGACGCGGGGGTGCGGGGAGCTCCGCGGGCGGCCCCGCTGACGAGCCCTCCCCCCAGCGTGACCGACGCCGCGGAGCTTTGGAGCACCCACTTCACGCCGGACAGCCTGGCGGCCCTCGTGGGTAACTGGGCGCCCGGGCGGGTCTGGGAACCGGTCGCCCGTGGGGTGACCGACCTCTGGGATTCCTGCCCGCCCTGTAGCTGCAGTCTTTACATTCGCCAGGGGTCCCAAGTGGAGCTGGGGTCGGGCAGCTTTCGGGTGCTCCCAGTGGGTCTCGGGTCCTAGGTACCTGGTGACGAGCCCCTGTGCTCTCTAGAAAGCCCGTTTTGGCCTGAGTGCGGCTGAGGACATCACGCCCCGGTTCAGGTGAGACCCAAGCAGGGAGGGAGGGTGACTGGGTGGCGAGCAGGAGGGTCTGGCCACAGCTCTCAGCACCTCTCCTCTCCCAGGGCAGCCTGTGAGCAGCAAGCTGTGGCTCTGACCCTGCAGGAGGACAGAGCATCCCTGACCCTTTCAGGGGGGCCCTCGCCATTGGCCTTTGACCTCTCCAAAGTACCAGGCCCAGAGGCAGCCCCCAGGCTGCAGGCACTGACACTGGACCTGGCACAACGTGTGTGCAGCCTGGAGCGGCGCCTGGCAGGTAGGGTTGGGAGTGGGCACCTCATGCTTTCACGAGGCTCCCCTGCTCTTGCCCCCACTCCTGGCACTGAGCAGGGCTCCCACGGGCTTTCTTCCCCAGCTGCAGAACAGACGGCTGCCAGCCCCAGGAAGAGCTCCCAGCCTGCAGCGCCTCAGCTCTTCTTACCAGGTAAGGCATGTCCTCCTGTGACTCAAGTAGGGCTGAGCTCTTGACTCTGGAACTGGTTTTCCTGAACAAGCCTCACACTCCAGAGTCTCTGTCTCTTTGGAGGAGGTTGTGGCTGGGATGCTGTCAGCTTCAGGAGCCGCCCCATCCCGTTTCTCCCAGACCCAGATCCCCAGAGAGGTGGCCCAGGACCTGGAGTCAAGAGGCGGTGTCCGGGGGAGTCTCTCATCAACCCCGGCTTCAAGAGGTACTCGCCCACCAGCCTCCCACACCGAGGGTCCAACTGGACCCACCCCTTTCTCTGCACCATAGTGACACCCTTCTTCCCTCCCAGTAAGAAACCAGCTGGTGGCGTGGACTTTGAAGATGCCTGAAGGTGCAGTACCAAGTGTGGTCCTGTGGGGTGCCTGCCTGTGAGGGGAGAGGCCCCATTAGAGACCCCACCACCACCTCCACCTGCCCATCCTGGGCCAGGACTAAGGCGGCTCCTCAAGTTCCTTCACCATCAAATAAACGGCTCCTTTGGCTGGAGGCTCTGGTGGGGCTCTGGCTCCTGCATTGGCCTGGGAAGGGAGCAGGGAAGGTCCCTGGGCCTACACTCTGGGTGTGGGGCCACAGCATGTGAACAGATGCAGCAGCGTCTCAGCTCCCTGGAGACTTCCTTGCTGGGCTGGAGGGAGGTGAGCTTTCTCAGACCTGTCCAGCTATCCCAGCCCTACCAGCCCAGAGCTGAGAGGGGCCCAGCCAGGTGGGGCCAGGGTCCCCAGGGCAAGAACTCTGTTCCCACCCTCCCAGGCTGCACCCAGGAGCCGAGAGGGGCCCAGCCAGGTGGGGCCAGGGTCCCCAAGGCTTAGAACTCTGTTCCCACGCTCCCAGGCTGCACCCAGGCAAGGCACAGAGCCCCATAGGAGATGCCCACAGAACGTCCTGTGCAGATCCCAGACCTCCAAGATGCTGTGGAAGTGGCCCTGTGGGGAGGGGGGAGCCTGCCCCTGGGACAGGATTGAGGAATGTAGTCAGCCCCCATCCACCTGGGGCACCCCGCCCCACCCCGGCCTGACTGGTTTGGGAGCCCAATCCGGTCCTGGTGATCCCTGAGGCCACTTGTTGCAGGAGACCTGGAGTCTGTGCACTTAGTGTGGGGGATGGGACCCGCCCTATCCTGGCTCTCCGGCCCCTGTGGTTCTGGGCTATTCAGCTGAGCGTCCCACCAAGGGGTTTGGGGGTGGGAAGCACCCCCGACTGGGGGCACTGATCATGGGGCCTCTGGCCCCTCAGATGACAGGACACGCTCACTTCGGACAGAGATGCCTTTATCAGGCGGCAGAGGCGGGGCGGGGCGCTAGCGGGGGTGCACGGCGGGCCGGTAGGCGGCCAATATCTCGGCGCTATGCGGACACGTGTACTTGAACTCCTTCTCCTGCAGCGCGCTGTCCAGGTATCGGCGGACTCCGCGCAGCTCCGCGGGGATGGGCGCCTGGCGGAAGTGCGCGCACACGGTCTGCGGGCGGGTGGGAGTGGGGGGCCGCGGTCAGGACCTGCCGTCCCCAGCGCCCCGGGCCCCCTGGCGCTCGTCCTCCCCCTGTCCCCCGCGCTCACGTCGACGATGTTCAGCTTGGGCAGCAGGCTGCAGTCCGCCAGCGTGAGCCGGTCGCCGTCTAGGAAGCGGCGGCGGGACTCGCGCAGCTGCGGCTCCAGCGCCAGCTCGTGCTCCAGGGGCGCACGCAGGTAGCTGTCCAGCCTGGCGAGGGCGCGCAGCAGCTGCTGGTACAGGGCTGCGGGCGGCGGCGCAGTGAGGACCCCGCCCAGGGCGCCCTCCCGCCTGGGCACCCAGCCCCCTGACCTCGCCTCACCTTCGTCCTGCGCCGGCAGCGGGTTCTTGATGAACACGGAGAACTTGTGGAAAATGTCATTGCCGGCGGTGTTGGCCTCCCTGTACCGAGGCGCCAGGCTGGGGAAGCTGCGGGGATGTGGGGGTGAGAGACTCCATCAGACTGGCCGCTGCCCTGTCCCGGCCCCACAGTACCCCGAAAAGCTTTCCTGGGCTCTGTCCTGGGCGCGGCCTCCCTGGGTCCTCCCCCTTAGTCCCCCCACCCTGCTTGGTCTCTCACTCCGGCGGCCCCAACGTCTCCTCCAGAAAGTCCTCGATCTGCAGCGTGTCTGTCTTGGCCTCGCTGTCACAGAGCAGGATGGGCAGCTGCGAGCCAGGGGCGAAGTCCTTCAGCACGTCTGGGGATCTGTGGGCAGCAGCAGGGTGGGAGGAGGCTGGCCCACTGGTGTGTGAGGCCAGGCAGGCGTCCCCAGGGTGGGCCTCACCTGCGCGTGTCCACAGTGGTGAGAGTGAAGGGTACGCCCTTGAGGAGCAGAACCATGAAGAGCCGCTGGCAGGAGGGGCAGTGCCCCACGCTCTCCCCGTCCTCACTTGCCTGGGTGGGTGGAGCGGGGGTCAGGGCTGGGAGCAGACCCAGGCATCCTGCCACCAGGCTGGATGGGACCTGCCTCCCACTGCCAGCGGAACTGGAGGGACGCCAGGGCTCCAGCTTGGTTGGTGTGACTTCCAAGTGCCCAGTGAGGGCCCTTGACTGGGTCCCCAGGACGTGGGGAGGGGCGCAGAGGGGGTGCTGGGAGCTTGGAGGCCTGGGGCGGGCCTGGCCCCTGGAATCTTATCAGAGCCTGGGCAGAGGCCAGGCCCCTGGGCACAGGCCCCAAAAGCTGGTTACAGGGGTGGGGTGGGCCCCACAACCTGTTTTCTGAGTGATTCACCCACCAGACTGGGCACTGTGGCTGGCAGCTCATCAGCCCCCACCCTGGTCCCTGATCTGAGAGCTGAGGGGCTGCCTAGCCCAGCACCCCGCATCCTAGAACACCCACCTACAGCTCCTGGCAGGCTCCACCACTGGCAGCCTGGTTGGTACCTCCCCACCAAGGGGCTCTCCCCCAGGAGACTGGGCTGGGAACAGGACCAAGGCCACTGGACCCCTCTCTGGGTGACTCTCTGGGTCCTTCTTCCCCTGGCTGTCCCACTTTACTCAGCCTCTATAGGGCTGAGTCCTCTTAGCCATCCACAGGAAGGGGCTCAGACATCACTGGGGAGGCCCACCCCCAGCCTGTCCCAGAAAGCAAAACCCAGAAGAGCACCCGCTCCCAGACACCCTCCCTGCAGCTCAGTTTGCCCTGCACCTTGACAAACAGCTGGAGCTTGGTCTCCGCCATGCTGGGAGCTGCCGCGGTCAGGCGCGGGTGGGGACCTCGGGAGCTTTTTAAGTCTCTATGTGAGCCCCGCCCTCCCTGGCCTAGGGGCCCGCCCCGTGGAGCCACCTAGGCGGGCAGATGAAGCTGCCCAGGGTTCAGAGCCGGCTGCCTGAGTAACGCCAGCCCGACCCTGGGGTGTCTGAGCCTGAGGGTGTGACCTTGGGGGGAATGATGTGGGGGGCTGCCCTGGACCTGAGGCTGGCACACACCCAGAGGTCCACCCACCTGGTGCTGAGTGTGCTGGGAGCCAGCGTGATGGATGGAAACCAGTGGGTGGGGCATGGGGAGAGCCTACAGACCAGAAGGGTGTAGGGGTGTCACCTGGGTAGGGGTGGCTTTGGCTCAGGACCACCCCCACCGTGAACCCAAATCAGGACCTGCCCTATGGCCGTCCCTTGGACAAATATTCCTGGTCAGGGCCCCCAGCCCAGAAAGCTGGGTGTGGGGTGGGCAGGAGAAATGACGCGACCAGCCTAGCTTCAGTTTTCCGGTCTGCAGGACCAGGGCGTTGCAGGGGTGATAGGCCCACCTGGAGGAGCCGCCCCTTCCCACCGACCAAGCTGTCAGGCAGGCCCTCCCCACTCAGGGCGGGGCCCGAATTCCAGACCTGCCCGCAGCAGGGCGGGGGCCAGCCTGGCTTTGGTGTTTGGCCGGCAGTGCAGGTCTCCACCCTCCCCCGTCCCGCCCACTGGCACTCAGCACAGGTTTCTTACCCCCACCCCTTAACCTTTAAAAAGAAGCATCTGGAGGGGTTAGAAGCCGCAGCCCGCATGGCTGGAAGCAGGAGGCCAGAGGAGGTTGGTGGGCCGCAGGTGTGAGCCTGCTCGGCCTCCTGGTGTGACTGGAGCCCACAGGTCAGTCTGGCCCTTTGGGGTCACCAACTGTGCCTCCTGATGCTTTGGGGGGCAGCCCCAGGGAGGTACCCCAAGGGGAGACCCCACCCAGAGGCCAGGCGCCCACAGGATTGGCCTGGCCACACTTCCCCTGGCGGTGTGGTGCCCCAGTGAGCCTGGACAGGGTGGCTGTGGTGGCATGGCTCGCCTGCTCACCTTCCCAGGGCCTTGGCACAGGCCCCACCCCGTCCCCGCGACCGCGCTCCAGTGCTGTCCCAGCCAGCCCAGCCTGACCCCTCTGGATTCCATGACGGTTGGGGCTCCTGGACACACAGTGCCCCTGTGTGTATTTCCACCTGGAAATACCACGTGGCTCCCCCATCCTTTGTCGTCCTGAGCCCCAACACCCTGCGGAGCCTCAGTTTCCTTCCATCCTGCTTCCACCTCGATTGCAAGCTCTCGTCTTTCTCCACACTGGTGATGGCTCCGCTTGCTGCCTTCCTGAATCCTGGGCAGGCAAATGGCCACCCACGGAGAAGCCCGGGGACTCCTCCAGCCCGGCTCTGCTGCCCCAATGCCCTGTGTCTTTAATACTGACAGACACACCCTCACAAATCCACAGGAAAAGCGATGGCACAGACAGAGGCCATGAACCAGTGGCTCAGAAGGAAAAAAAAACACCAACAAGACAGAGGAAGACCATTCACCTCATGCCTGTTTCAGAAACAAACCAAACCAGACCCCGTTCATGGCTGCAGCGGCAGGAGCAGCCCAGTGTTCTGTGGGCGTGGCTGTGGACTGGGGAGCCGAGGTGGCCATCCAACACTCCCCTCCTGTGCCCTCACCCACCTGGGAATCAGCCCCATGGTTTCCTTGTTCGGTTTAATCAATTCAGTAATTTATTTTCTAGAAACAGGGTCCTGCCATGTTGTCCAGGCTGTCTCCACCTCTTGGCTCAAGTGACCAGCCTGCCCTGACCTCCCAGCATGCCAGAGCCAGAGGGGTGACCCACCACACCCAGCCAGTTTCCCAGTGACAGGCAAGTGAGTTCTGGCTGCCCCACTGCGTGGCATGGCTTTGACGTGGCTCCGTGGCATAGCCACCACCCTGTCTATGGGAGACTCTGGTTGTGTCCAGGGAGGAGCACAGAGAAGGTGGGTCCATGCGTGCCCACTGCAGGGAGGGCCTGAGACTAGGTGGTAAATGACCTGGCTGTGTCCCCTTAAATTTAAATTCATAGGCTTGAGTCCTAACCCCTAGTGCCTCCGAATGTGACTTTATATGGGCCGGGCGCGGTGGCTCACGCCTGTAATCCCAGCACAGTGGGAGGCCGAGGCAGGAGGATCACCTGAGGTCAGGAGTTTGAGACCAGCCCGGCCAATATGGTGAAACCCCGTCTGTACTGAAAATATAGAATTAGCCGGGCGTGGTGGTGCCTGCCTGTCTGTAACCCCAGCTACTCAGGAGACCGAGGCAGGAGAATCGCTTGAACCCGGGAGGCGGAGTTGCAGCGAGCCGAGATTGGTCGGTTGGAACTTATCAAGTAAAAGTGTGGTGAGTAGGAGAGGCCCTAATCCACAACAACTGATGTCGGTGTAGACAGGTGAGTTTGGACACAGACGCTCAGGGAGGGCCACGTGAAGATGCAGGCGGACATCAGGGTGACGAAGCTGCCAGCCCAGGAGCCGAGCGGATGTTGCCGAGGCCCTGGGAGGAGGCAGCGCAGCCCGAGCGCCCGTCCCCGTGTCTAACCTCCAGGCTGCTGGGCAGTGAGCTTCCGTTCACCGACGACAGTGGATTGTGAAGACGGAGTCTCGCTCTGTGGCCCAGGCTGGAGTGCAGTGTCTCGATCTCAGCTCACTGCAACCTCCACCTCCCGGGCCTCCCGAGTAGCTGGGATTACAGGAGTCCGTCACCACACCTGGCTAATCTTTTGTATTTTTAGTAGAGATGGGGTTTCACCGTGTTGGCAAGGCTGCTCTCAAACCCCTGGCCTCAGGCGATCCTCCCACCTCGGCCTCCCAATGTCAGCTGTTGTTTTAAACCCCTCACTTTGTGGCTATTTGCATGGCAGTGCTAGGAAACTAAGAATGTGGGGAAACGCCAGGAAATTGAAGAAAATCAGCTTGTACAGAGCTGAGAAACGCGAGGCGCCGTCGGAGGGGTGACCCCTGACCGGCAGAAACGCATTTCCAGCCTGTGCTTCTTGTCTGGCCACACTGTTTGCATTTTCTACCGCATTTTCGTCATACCACATTTTCTACCACAGTTTCGTAATGTTTTGACGAAAAAGCAGTAATTCACAACCACTAACCTTAAGTAGACCCTGGTTCCCTGATCCGTAAACCTCCTGTCCCCTGCGGCCCCTGCCCCTGATTCATAGAGCCACCGTCAGCGGGGCCAAGCAAAGGTCCTGGGGCTGCAGCTCTGGGAGTGACTGGTGGGTTGAAACTCTGTCCTTCCCCGACACCTCTCCCTGAGGGCCCCTTCCAAGGGGCCCTTTTTTTTAAGACAGCGTTTCGCTCTTGTTGCCCACGCTAGGGTGCAGTAGCAGGATCTCAGCTCACCACTGACTCCTGGGCTCAAGCGATTCTCCTGCCTCAGCCTCCCAAGTAGCTGGGACTACAGGTACGTGCCACCATGACTGACTGGCCAATTTTTTATATTTTTAGTAGAGATGAGGTTTCATCGTGTTAGGCAGGATGGTCTCAATCTCATGACCTCGTGATCTGCCTGCCTCGGCCTCCCAAAGTGCTGGGATTACAGGTGTGAGCCGTTGTGCCCGGCCTGGGCAGCTCCGTTCTGAAGGGAGACACACAGCTGTGGGGAGCCGGAGGGCTGGGGGCGGGTGTCTTGGTGCAGAGCTTTCCCTGCTCTGTGCGTGGAGAGGGCCTAGAAGCAGGGAGGCCTCAGGAGCAGCGTGCAGACCAGAGCTCAGATCGTGGTTCCAAAGCCTGTCTGCCCTGGAAGGAACCAGGCTTCTGCTCTACACTGTGTCCTCCCCAAAATCTGTGTTGAAAGCCTGGCCCCTCCAGTGATGATATTAAGAAAGGGGCCTTTTGGGGGTGAGTGGGTCATGAGGGTGAAGCCCTGGTGAACAGCATCAGTGCCCTCATCAAAGGGACCCCGGAGAGCTCCCTTGTTCCTTCCACCACTTGAGGAGTCACACAACCCAGAAGGTCCCTCGCCAGAACAGGCTGCGCTGGTGCCCTGATTGCGGACCTCAGCCTCCAGAGCTGTGAGAAATGAACGCCACCCACCTGGGGGCCTTTGCACCGCAGCCCTGGTCGGACTGAGGCAGGCTCCTCGGAGAGATGCTGATTCCAGGTGTGGGGCAGGGAAGGTAGGGACACACCCAAAGCACGTCAGGGACTGTTAAGAGGACACAGGGCCGGGCGCGGTGGCTCACGCCTGTAATCCCAGCACTTTGGGAGGCCGAGGTGGGTGGATCACGAGGTCAAGAGATCGAGACCATCCCGGTCAACATGGTGAAACCCCGTCTCTACTAAAAATGCAAAAAATTAGCTGGGCATGGTGGTGCGTGCCTGTAATCCCAGCTACTCGGGAGGCTGAAGCAGGAGAATTGCCTGAACCCAGGAGGCGGAGGTTGCTGTGAGCCGAGATCGCACCATTGCACTCCAGCCTGGGTAACAAGAGCAAAACTCCGTCTCAAAAAAAAAAAAAAAAAAGAGGACACAGAAGCCATGCTGGAGGGCACCCACTGGCCGGAGCTCGGGCAATCGGAGCACACGATGACAGTGGGTTGTGCCTTACAAATGGTTAAAATGATCAGTTTGCATAGATTTTACCACCACCGAAACGTTTTAAAAGAGCCAGATGCGGTGGCCCACGCCTGTAATCCCAACACTCCGGGAGGCTGACGTGGGAGGAACCGTGAGCTCCGGGGTTCAAGACCTACCTGGGCAATACAGCAAGACCCTGTATCTACAAAAATAAAAATTAGCACATGTCTGTGGGAGGCTGAGGCAGGAGAATCACTTGAGCCCAGGAGTTGGAGGCTGCAGTGAGCTATGACTGCACGGAGGCTGAGGCGGGAGGATCACTTGAGCCCAGGTGTTGGAGGCTGCAGTGAGCTGAGATTGCACCACCACACTCCAGCCTGGGCAACAGAGCAGGACCCTGTCTCAAAATAAGTAATTAATTAAAAGATGACAGTAAAGAGTGTTAACACGTGGATTGTTTTAAACCTGCAAGTCTGTACTGATATATGTTTGAAAGTGGAAGGGGCCTTTGGTGAGAGAAAATGCCACTGAATAGGTGCCGAAATGGAATACACACAGGAAATGGCCATGGTGCAGCTGCCCTGGGTGATGCAGGGGCAGGGCACAGGCTGGCCACGTGGCCGCACAGCACCCACGTCACTGCCCCACATCTGAGGCAGGGAGAACGGGGCCTCAACCAGGGGGCCACATTCAGCATCACCTGCCGAGGGACAGATGGACGCCCAGAGGTGACTGCCACAGTGTGTCCCGGTGCTACTCTGGCCAAAAACGTCCAACCTGCATCTGACCAAGAGGAAATGATCAGACACACCCAGAGCTCTGCCTGGGCCTGTGCAGCCTGTCCCTGCTGAGGGGAGAACGCCAAGGCAGGGCTGGCTCAGGGGAGCCTGGGGAAGCAGCAAAACACAAGAGGTGTCTCCTGGTTGGATCCTGAGTTTTCCTTTTTTCTTTTTTTTTTTTTTTGAGACGGAGTTTCACTCTCTTGCCCAGCCTGGAGTGCAGTGGTGCCATCTCAGCTCACTGCAACCTCCGCCTCCCTGATTCTAGTGATTCTCCTGCCTCAGCCTCCCATGTGGCTGGGATTACAGGTACCACAACACCCAGCTAATTTTGTGTTTTTAGTAGAGACAGAGTTTTGCCATGTTGGCCAAGCTGGTCTTGAACTCCTGACCTCAGGTGATCTGCCCGCCTTGACCTCCCAAAGTGCTAGGATTACAGGCATGAGCCAAGGTGCCTGGCTGATCCTGGTTTTTTGGAAAAGCTCTACAGGGCATGCCTGGGGCTGGGCAAAGTGGCCCACACCTGTAATCCCAGCTACTCGGGAGGCTGAGGCTGGAGAATCGCTTGAACCACAGAGTTGGAGGTGGCAGTCAGCCGAGATTGTGACATGGCGCTCCAGCCTGGGCGACAGACTCCACCTCTAAATAAATAAATAAAAGGGCATGCCTGGGACATGGGGGCCCTGGAAAGCCCACTGCGCCCCTTCTTAACTCTGGGCTACCCTGGCTCTTGAGGGAAGGAGGCTGCAGGGCCTGGGGCTCGTGTGTCACAGTAGCTGCTGCTTTCCCACGGGGCAGCAGGACAGAAGTGTGGCAAGATTCCACAGTTCGTGCGTCGGCTGAGGATATGCAATGTGCGTTCCGCTATTCTCACAAGTTTTCTGAAAGTTTAAAATGTTCCTTTTGTTGTTGTTTTGAGACAGAGTCTCACTCTGTCACCCAGGCTGGAGTGCAGTGGCTCGATCTCGACTCACTGCAGCCTCCGCCTCCCGGTTCGATTCTCCTGCCTCAGCCTCCCAAGTAGCTGGGATTACAGGCGCCCACCACCACGCCCAGCTAATTTTTGTATTTTCAGTAGGGACGGGGTTTCACCGTGTTGACCAGGCTGGTCTTGAACTCCCGACCTCAGATGATCCGCCCGCCTCAGCCTCCCACAGTGCTGGGATGACAGGCTCCAGCCACTGCGCCCGGCTGAGAATGTTCTGAGAAGGTGCTGGGGGCGTATTTGCTGTCAATGCTCGAGACGACTCCCTATGAACTGTCGTCCGTGGGCGGCTGTGTAGGTCCAGCCTGGCCTGGTCCTGTGCACAGGGTCTCTACGGGCTCTGCCGGAGCCATGTTCCTTTCTCCACCTCTTCCTGTTGGGACCCAACCCTTGCCATGGTGGTATGGAGCCACTGCTGCCTGAAGCCCCAGGCTCGGCCTTCTGGGGGTTCCCCCATGCCTTTTCCTCAGCTGAGCACCAAACCCACACCCTCCAGTGAGCGAGTGTTCTCAGTTCTTCCAGGGTCAGCTGCCCCCAGGGCCCAGGGCAGCTTCACCCCAGTGACCTAGCCACTCAGGCTTCAGCAGGCCCATCCCACAGCCTCGTGGGGGGCCACGGCAAGCACTTCACAGGAACCCAAGTGGCTCCATTGGCCCAGCCCACCCAGGCCCACCAGTGCTCCAAGCCTATGGGCCCCGTCCCTGCCAGTTCCTATGTGGCATCAGCCCTTGCCTGCACCCACCCTCCACCCTCTGCCTTCCTGAGAAGCCTTGAAACAGCCTGAGGCAACAGTCTGACCTTGGCCCAGACCACGGGAGCGAGCTCTGGGGGCCCTTTATGCCCCTGCGCTGTCTCCTGCCCACAGTGCAGCAGGCTCCACCTTGACGAGCCTGAGCTTGGGGGTCCCTGCCTCCCTGGGGCCTCAGCCTCCACCTCCGCCCTGCCCTCCGGCTGGGATGCTCTTCCCTTCAGGAATCTTCACGACCACAGGCTCCTCCTGGAGGTCCCCTCTTCCTGGAAGCCCTCTGCCCCTTCCATGACATGGAGACAGCCCAGCCCAGGCCACTGCAGGCCCCACGTGGGCAGCCAGGGGTGAAGGAGGAGAGGGGAAGACGAAGACTCAGGGGAAGTGGGCAGGGAGCAAGCCCTGTGGGGCAGTGAACCACCACCCTGCCTGCCTGTCTTCCTCCTCCAGGCTGGCCCAGCCACGCACTGCCAGCACCTGTGCCCAAGGGGCAGGGCCTTATGGGACGCCAGCCCACCTGACGGGGCCCTCCTCCCCACCCCACCCACCCCACCCACCCCACATACACAGGCCCCACAGGCGTTTTGTTTATTTATTTAAAACAAACATCTGTGCAGTATGTACAGGTCCGGCTCCCAGGCAGGTGGGCGGGGAGGGGGCTAAGCTGGGTGGGAGAGCAGCGGCAGCTGGGGGGTGGGTCCGGCCCCTCGCATGGCCAGCAGAGCCAGCTTCTCCGTTCCTGCCACCTGCCATCTGGCCCAAGCTGATGGCGTTCCATGGGGCGGCCACCTCTCTGCAGGAAAGCAGGGCCAGGAGAGACTCTTCTCAAAGTAAAATAAATATGACTGACCCAGCCCCGCTTACGGCCCGCCCCGGCATCAGCCTTCACTGCAGGGAAAACAGCTGGTTCTGAGGCCGGGCAGAAGAAAGGCCAGCAGGGCCTGGTCCAGCTGGTGTCGCCTCAGGCGGAGAGCAGGGCCAGGCAGGGGTGAGGGGCCCGGTGGACCCCGAGGCTTTAAGGCGAAGCGGGGCGAGGGTGTGTGCAGCCTGGGCCGGGTCAGCCTTTGGCACAATTGGGGGCGGCAGCCGCAGTGACCACAGGGCGTGGCCAAGTACAGGGGCTGCAGCGCCAGAAGCCATTGGTCCTCAGCCTCCACTCCAGGGCCTGGCAGCAGGCACTGGGGGACTGCGGTCCCCACTGTCAAGTCCCTGGTCCAGCACCGGGTGGTCAGCGGAGTGTGTCCTTCCTGGTCCAGCGCCGGGTGGTCAGCAGAGTGTGTCTGTGTTGAAGGACAGCCGGGCCTGCGCACAGGAGAGGCTAGGCGTGGGCAGCGTCCTGGGCCACCCGCCCTGGGGCTGAGAACACTTGTGCTGGCCCGCCCTGGCCCTCCCGCAGGCTGGGCCTGGATGCAGGGTCTCCCCACAAGCTGCCCCATGTCTGGACTCTCCTGGGCCTCCATCTGCCGAGTCTGGGGCCACTGAGTCTACAGAGTCTCCTGTTTCCAGGCTCTGGTCCCCTGTGCCCCATCCTGGCCCTATGCCCCTCAAAGGCCCGGGCAAGTCTAGGCTACGCAATTGGGCTCTCCAGGCCTGTCTGCAAGCCCTCCTCGCCCACTCTGCCCTCTTGACCTGTGGACAGCAAGCATCCTGGGCCAGTTCTCCCCCAACCCCACCCTGGGACTGGAGCCGCCAGGCAGCCTGGGTCTAGTGGGCAGGGCTGGCTGAAGTGCCCAGCGCCTGCAGAGCCCTGGGCGGCCATGAGGTCAGCCTGCTCACCCGTTCCTCCTCGAAGCTGATGAGGCCCTCGTCCTCCGTGTCCAGGTCCTCAGGCTCCTCCGCCACAAGTGCCCGGAGCTCCGTGGGGGCCAGCCGGGGCCGGAGCAGGCTGAGCAGGCAGCCGAGAGGGGACTGCAGTGCGGACGGCGCCTCCGTCTCCTGCTGTTCCAGGTTATCGCTCTGCTTCTTGGCGAAGTTCACGAATACCTGGTGGGTGGGACAGGCATGTGGGGAGGGGCAGCCTGGGGTAGGGGGATGGGAGATGCCAGGCGGGGGAGGAGACAGGGCAGGTGGGGGCTGGGTTGTGGTGTGCAGCGCCCTTGGGGTGCTCACGTTGTCCAGTGTGGTCTGGCTGACGGAGTAGTCCTCGATGCCCAGCAGGCCGGACACCTGCTCCATCTTGCTGAACACCTGAGCCAGTGAGATGTGCTCCGACTTGAGCTGGTACTGCACCTTGGTGTGGTGGCGCTCCTGCAGGGGAGAGGTCAGAGGCCACTGGTAGTGCTCCCCCTGCAGTGCTCCCCTGCCCTGCAGCGCTCTCTACCACGCACTGGCCCCCACCGCTCCGCAGCACTTTCCCGCGTCTGCAGCGCCCCGCGTCCCCGCCACCCGCGCCCCCGCCGCCCGCAGCACCTCCTCGGAGACACGGAGGAGTGCGCACCTTGAGCATGGCTTCCGGGAAGTTCCGGTTGAAGAACCGCACCACGTCCTTCACGCTCTGGCTGCTCTTCGTTCTCACCGTGATCATGTAACCATCTCCGAACCTGGGGGGACAGGCCCGTGGCCCAGAGCCCAGAGCCCCGCGCTGCCCAGCTAGAGCCCCAGCTCCCCAGCCTCCTGGCCCCACAGCCCCCAAAGACACCCCAGGAAGCCTCATAGACCCCCCACAGCCCCACAGGCCCCCAGGCCCCTCCCGTGGCCCCAC